CAGCATACTACTCAAAGAAAGACCTTAAACCAAAAAGATTTGAATGCTTCAGAAGCTATAATGTTGAAGCACTTTTTAGTTGCTCAAATTAATTGATCGACTGAAAATCAATCAAACACCCCAACTATACATTAGCAATTTTCAGTGATACACTGATAAAACCACAAAAATTGTGGCATAAATTTTTGCCACAGTTATCACAGCCAAATAACACATATTATTTATATAACTGTTTTCGTTTCCTTTCGCCCACTTCATTTTTCCATATCAAAAACTAATTATTTCGTATTCATTTTTCTGGTAATGTTCATTATCATTGCCAAATTTATTTGAAAGAAAAAAAAAAAAACACTACAGCTAAGAGGCAAAAAATGAGCATAGTTTTGAAATTAGCAGTTTCAAACAACGATTACTGTGCTGCTAAAGCATTGAAATCGTTTGCAATAGCGACAACGATGGCAAAGCAATAAAAAATTGTAGAATTGGAAAAAAACAGCAGTAGTAACTATAATCTATAACTGATGCTAAACTGCTATAAATCTGTGGACAAAACTGTTTATTTGTTGCCTTAGCTATTTCAATTTTAAAATTTCTATTTCCAAGAAAAGCCCCCCTTTATTCTTTCAGACCAACAACATTGTCATTAAAGACGAATAATATGGAATTACTCGATGTAAATAAAAAAAAAAGAGGACTTTTGAAAGTTGTTTGCAGATCCAATTGATGATGATACATAGCTAAAGATGCCAACAAATTTCAGTAAAATTACAGTGCTTCAAAACCCACTTTTTCTTATTAAACAGCAAAAAAAGAAAAAAACACCATTTATACAGAGAACTATGGTGTCATCACCAAAAGTAAAACGTTTGTCATCGGTATTTAGCCCACCTCTTTTCTTACAAGTTAATATTTGAATTATATAGCTAAACCAATTCGTTTTACTATCTCTTGAAAAATTTTCACTAGATTTCCATTAGAATGTATAACAGCTAAAAATCCTTTTTTTTTTTTTTT